TATCGGAGTAAAAGGAGAACTATCCTTTTATATCAGATAGTCAGCTATGCAGAGAATTGGACATTGAGATGAATCTTGTCATAACCGCAAGTTATTTTGAGGATGCCTGATGAACCAATAAAAAGACTTTGTATGGATGCTTTGTGGAGTTACTCTGTCTGCCTTATATTAAGAAGCAGAAGAGACCTCCATAATTTGTGAATGAGTGAACCAGGAACTATGCAACCAAGGGTAAACAGCAAGGTCAAGGCACCCTTGATGAACGCTATAAGTCAGGGTCTTTAAACTCAAAGCCTGTGGGTCGGATCCAGCCCATGGGGTACTTAGATTTGGCCCACGGGGCTGCCCTGGAAACAGCAGACTGGCCCACAGTACTTCTGCCAGCAAAAGGAGCGAGCACCATTTTCACTGGCAGCGGGTTGCAGGAGGCCGTCATGGCCAGAAACGGAGCTCAGGAGTCTGTTTTCGCTAGTAGAGCGCTTGGGCCACCAAAGGCGCCCCCGATATGAGTGACGTTGAGCTGTCCACACCCTCCCTGGCTATGCCCACCCCGGCCCTCTGAGTTTGAATACAACCCTGATGCAGCCCTTCATAAAATCAAGTTTGACACCCCTGCTATAAGTGCATGAGCAAAAGTTCAAGCCAACAGCAGGATTGTTTATTTATTTTATTTACTTACAGGTAGCCCTCAACTTATAACCACAATTGATGCCCAAATTTATGTTGTTACGTGAGACAGTTGTTAAGTGAACTTTGTCCCATTTTATGACCTTTATGCCACAGTTGTTAAGTGAATCTGGTTTCTCCACTAACTGTGTCAGAAAATCGCAAAAGATGATCCCAGGACAATTCTGATCACATGACCATGGGGATGCTGCAATGGTTGTAAGTGTAAAAAATGGTCATAACTCACATTTTTCAGTGATGCTGTAACTTCGAATGGTCACTAAATGAACTGTTGTAAGTCAAGGACTACTGTATTTACTTATTTCTGCTTTTGTTAAATTTATATCACTCCTTTATTTCAAGAATTCAAGCCTGCATATACATGGCACCTTTCTTCCAATGTTAGTCTCATAATAACAGGCCTTTGCAAAAGATTGAGTGGAGAAACAGGGATTGAGCTTAAGTCACCCTGTAATTGTTCTCCAGTGTGCTATAGTATACTACATCTGGCATTTTGTGGGATTGGGCTTAGTAAGGGGAAACAACTAGTGCGGAGATGAGATGCATTGTCCTGGGGCTACTGCATTGCCTCAAACTTTTATCCCTCAAACAGAGAATGGCGAAAATCAGATTTAGCCAATTTCACAAGATTTTGGTGTTTCAAGACAAGGCACCAAGATCCAGGGTGATGTACTGCTTTGGAATCCATATTAGCACCAGAAGCTTCCATGCTGCCACATTCTTGAGCCTGGGAAGATGGGAGGGGGGATTTTCATGGAGCCTGTGTGCTTAGACATAAAAGCATTCTTCTTTAGAGTCAAGGTCATGTTGTTCCTGCACCTGGCTGAGGAGTACTAGAGGGGACATCTCAAGTTGGGACGGATGGTGATTGAGGCCTGTGATGGAATGATAAGGGGCAGGGGGTGGATTTATAATATTTTACTTATTGGAGGGAAACCCGAGACTTTCAGATTGGGGATTTCCCAGATGTGCCAGTTTACTACTCTAATAAAAGGGAACTTTGAGAACATGTCTGGTTTGGAGTTATCTGTTGGAGTCGAGTTTTTCTGGAACACTGACATAAAGCTTTAAGACGAGAATTCAGGAGACACAGGTCCAAGCCCATCTTCATCTGTAGAAACTTACTGGCCGACTTTGAGCCAAATGCTCTCTTAGCCTAAACCCACTACACAGGGTAATTGTGGGGATAAAACAAAGGGAGATGCTAAGGTGTCTTGTACTCCTGGAAGAAAAATAGACTAAAAATTTAACAATCGATTCATCAACCAATAAAAAGCCATGTTACCTCGTACATTTATTTTCATTGGGGGTAACGGGCCCCTGAAAAGCTTGATGATCCAGCATTGCAGGATAAAAACTGAACATCAGCTTGGAGTTAAATGCAAAAAAAAAAAAAGAGGTAAAAACTGAACGACGGGTAGCAAGCAATGTGCGTTGCAGGCTGCAGATGTAATCCCAAACATTTCCAATCCAAAAGATTCTTTGCCTGAGTCCCTAGTGTGCCATTGCAGACTGTAATAAGGGATGCTATCAAAAAGCCTGACTTACTTACAGGCTGTTCTATATGCATAATGTGCAAACAAGGAATGTGAAATATGTGGCCTTCTAATGTGTTTTATATTGTGTTTTTATGCTAATCTGTATGCTACCTAGACTCTTTGAACTCATTGATTTTTTTTATTGTAAAAAAATTATTTAAGTTTCATATATTTAAAACATTTAAAAAGAAACAAACATAAACAAGTGTATATACATATATACATTTTGCAGCAGGTATTGAGCATTGGTTACATTTTTCTTTTCTTTTTTTCTTTTACCCCATAACAATGATGTGATCTACCTTGTTACAATACCTTCCTTGTTCTTTTAATGTTTTAATTTCACAGAATACTTTATGATTAAATGCATGTCCTTCATAGTTTCACAACTTATTCAGTTGTCAAATCATGCTTTTTCTTTAACCATTCGTACCAATAGTTCCAAACTTTGTAGTATTCACTATCTTTGTTGTTTTTTAGTAATTTGGTTAGGCTGAGCATCTCTGCACACTCATGAATTTTTTTAATGACCATCAAAGGTTTCGGGTTCAAGTTTTACTTCTTGTTTAATTATATTTTGAATCCAATTTTAGATATTTTTCCAAAACTTCTGAGCATATGGACATGTCCACCACATATGAAAATATGTTCCCTGGACGCAGTTACACTTCCAACATTTTGGGGGAAGGTTCGGGAACATCTTAGCCAGTCTCGCGGGTGGCAAGTGCCAATGATACACCATTTTATAGAGATTCTCTTTGTACGAGGCTGACATAGTTAGTTTGTAATTTATTTCCCAAATATGTTCCCACTTGTCTAATTCAATACTGTGGCCCAACATTTTTTGCCTAAATTATCATACACTCCTTGACTGTTTCTTCTTTTAATTTATAATCCAATAGATATTTATATTTTTTACTAATCAATTTCTTTTCCTCTCCATGCCAAATTTTATCTAATTCTTGGTAGGTCATGTTAAAACCAAATTATCTTTTTTGTAATGTGTTTGTATCTACGCATAGGGCCACCATGTTATCTCTTTTCCTTGAATTTGTATTTGATTCCTATCCTTTAACTTTCCGGTTTGATGTAATAGATCTTTATATCTTACAATATTATTAAAACCTAAAACGTTTGGATGTGTAATTGCCCCCATTGTAGATAACCACAGTGGGACCTTACAGTAATGTACTTTTTTTTATCTTTTCCCAAATAGTTAATAACACACTCCTTATATAATGCCTTTGAAAGTACAAGTGGTGTTTACTCTTTCCATCCCTCATAAATGCGTGCCATCCAAGTTGGAGATCAAAGCCCTCATTGTACTCATTGATTTATAACTGTATATAGAGTTGATTTGGATAATGAGATGGGTGGCATATACATTTAATAAATACAGGTAGTCCTTGACTTACAACAATTCATTCAGTGACTTTTCCAAGTTACTATGGGACTTATGACTATTTTTCACACTTACAACCGTTGCAGCATTTCCAGGGTCACGTGATTTACATTCAGGTGCTTGACAACTGGTTCATATTTATGATGTTTGCAATGTCCTGGGGTCGTGTGATCCCCTTTTGCGCCCTTCTGACAAGCAAAGTCAATGGGAAAGCCAGATTCACTTAGCAACGGTATTGCTAATGTAGCAACTGTAGTGATTCAGTTCACAAATGTGGCCAGAAGAGTCATAAAATGGGACTAAAATCATTTTCAAATTTTTCACTTAGCAATATACATTTTGGGCTCCATTGTGGTCATAAGTTGAGGACTACCTGTACAAAGAAGTTAATAAATCAGTGCTGTTGGATGGCTAGTCTCATTGTCCCTCACCATTGTCCATATTGTCTAGATCTGCCTGAAACTGGAGGCAATTTCAGCAACATATAAATTCTAAGACACATTATTTATCTCTTTTGAAGTTCATAAGTTGGTGACAGTGCTACAACTGTTTCCTCTTCTTGTTTGCACATCTTCAGTTTATCAACCTGGCTGTACAGGGTAATTCAAATTCAGGATATTCCTGTGTTCCACTTACTTACATTCCTATAAAGAGGCGCCTGCTTTGTGGATATCATGCAGGGCAAGAAGCCATTTAGGCAAGATTGTAAACACTTTCTTAACAAAATAGCTTAATTCTTTGGAAGATTTGTTTGTGTGGGTGAATTTAGCATGCTGCTATTCATTTTTTCCCTTTTTCCTTTCCCTCCCCTCCTGCAGATGCCTGCAATGCCATCCCACTGAGGAAGAAAATGGTCACATTTACAACCAAAGAAGCACTAGCTGGAAAATGGATTGAAAGGCAGTAAAAAAGCAAGTGTGCAAAGTCCTGGGGAAATTTCATCCCATAATTGATCAACAAAAAAAGCCTTTTCCTCTGCATGTGTTTCCAAACTAAATCTTTGACTGGGAAGCCATATGTGGATTTGCAAATGGCTGTTGTCTCTTGTGTCCCTCACTAATGGAATAGGAGGCACTTTGTGTGTTGATTTTCAACCTATTTAAAACATTTAAAATGTTGAACTTTTGATGGAGTATCACCACCACATCAAAAGACTTTAAAATACATGTGTAATTCCTTCAGGAAGAGTAAAGAGAAGAAAAAAGCACTGTTACCAGTTAGCTGTTTAAAAAAAAAACTCTTCTTTTGTTTCTTTAGCTAACACCTTGAGGTCAATTTTGAATTATAATAAATTGATTTTATTAATTATTTACTGGCATACATCTGAACAGGATTAATAGTGATTTCCTTTCTCTAATAACTATTGGGAATTGTGCTTCCAAATAAAATGGTGTAACATATCATCTTCAAAATACAAAACCCCAAAAGAAACCATAACTGTTCAACTGGTCTACAAGTCATATTCTTTTATTGTAGATCAGCCTCAATTGTGTCTTTCCAATGAAACATTAGCAAGGGACCAATTTTTTGGAAGTTAGAATGGAAGCCCAAAATATGGAACATTCAGCAAAAGGAATTCAGATAGACATTGACCAACGATTGGAAACTTCAGATACAACTGATCCAATTATTGCCCCAGACAGTCCAGCCAAAAAGGCTTCTATCTTTTGCTTTAAGAAAAGGAAAAAGTCTTGTGAGAAGGTAGAAGAGAAGGATGAGAACCATGAATCCAATTCACTTAGCTTAAGGGCTGCTAACCAGTCTTCTGACATGGGGCACAATGAAACAGAGGTATCAAGTCCATTCTGGACTTCAGGGGAGGCCTGGCTGGCTTTCAAACGACTAGTGACATTAAGGAGAAGATCCAAATCCTCTCTGAAGAAACAAACACAGGCTTGTTCTCGCGTACATCTAGATGTGGACATAGGAGATTCTGGCAGGACACGATTTCCTAAGGAACATACCAATTCTAGCTCTAAAATTCCCTGCCTAAGACTCTCCAGAAGCAAAAAAAGGACCAGCCACTCTGAAATAATAGAACAGCCCGATTGTGAGAAAAAAGAAGGTATTCATTCAGCAAACATCCTGAATGAAAAAAGTAACAAAGAGCCAGAGATTGTGGCTATGGAAGCTCCACTGGATACAAAACAATCTCCCAGCAAAGGTCTTCAGGAAGGAGAAAGCGACAGTGGAGCCATGACAAATATAGAAAATGCGGCACTCTCTAATAGAGAGAACACGTTTCCTGATCCCAATTGTTATATTGACTGTGGAGTTCCATCAGAAATAATCCATTCTGAAACTGCACTTGTAACTGAAGAAGAGAAGCAAATATTTCAGTTACATCATGGAACCCTCTATGGAAACATTGAAGACCTGGAAAATCAGAAGTTCAGTTTTAATGTTGAGATCGGTCCTCCCATTCCTCAGGATCTGCCTGAAAGTGAACAACAACTTATAGGAAGAGAGGGAACCAAAGAGATCAAATCACAGCCATTTGTGGTAGACACTGATGTTGTGGCCAAAAGCGAGGATGTTGCTGCTAAGGAAGGTCATTCCATTGAAGTGATGTTGCATTGCAGCCCATCTGTAATGGAAGACGAGGCTTCAGACATACCGGTTTGTTTTGATGAAGAAGAGAAAAGTGAAGAAAATCAGTTTACCATTCCTGGGGCTGGCATTGTTATCACGATCACTGAAGCTGAAGATGATCAGGATGAGGAAGAAGAATCAGCTCCTACCTGTGAAATGTTTGCATTTCCCCAAGCCATCAAGCAAAAAGGGAAGAAAAAACCTAGCAAAAACAAAACTTCTGCTTCAGGGTGCAACTACACAAAGGAAGACCAAGCTGGCTCCCAGGTCTCATCTTCCTTTGGTACCAACAGCCAGGAACACTGGACTTCAGAGCAATATGAAATGCTATTGATTGAAACAGCTGCCTCGCTTGTGAAGACAGCTATTCAGTCATCTGTTGAGCAGCTTGTCAATGAAATGGCTTTGGAGCAAAATAAACAAAACAGTGTTTTATGATCACAGGGTCCTCTTTGTAAATTAGAGGCAGGCCTGCTATCAGCAAAGGGAGGCAAATAGAAGCCTTTGAACAAATTGGCTTGTTCTTGAAAAGAAAGTACCCTTTGGATTTTCTTTGTCCATTGCCAGCACTGCTTGATCCATCTTTAATGACCAGTTCAGTATTAATGCTGTGAGGAAATGTTCCAGATGTCCTGAAGTATTTAAACTTAGCATGAGAGATTGGGGAGGGTCTTAAATTCCTGAGATATTTGCAATATCTGTGATTAACTTAATTTTGCATGTTGGTATAATGGAATGTATATTGTATTGTATAAACAGCTTGTAAAAACAAGGGGGGAGGGTCTTTTGCTGCATGGTGACATGTCTTAATGGTTTACTCTCTATGGTAGATCTAGGAAAGACAGCCATTTCTTTCTTCTCAGTTTATTTATTCCAATAACCAAGTTATTCAAATATTATTGTCAATGATTGAGCAGTTTTTTTAACCCACCGCTTTTCAGATAAGTTTGGCCTTTCTTAATTTTTAACTGAAATTATAGGAACTGGTGTTCCACATCTGGAGGTCAGTAGGTTGGAGAAATCTGGCTGAGAAACTCAACTTATTGAACAAATGGTTCTAAATCAAGCTGTTAAAGGTTCCCCCAAAAGAGCTGAGGAAAGGAACAGGAATTGGTGACACCCGCATCTAAAACAGAAATTAGATTGAGCAACAGTACCCCAAAAGCATACTTTTCCATGTAAAAGCTATCCATTTCTACTGGAGTAGATGATTTCAGTGTTTCTGAAGTCCTACTGATCGCTTTATCAAAGAATCTCAGCCCCATCAAGAGAAAAGCAAACATTTCTTCAGAGAAATTTACAAACTCTATTCAGAGACATTTGTTATGGTAAGTTTTAAAGACATAAAAAGGTACTACTGCCCACAATGATTTTATTAATATAATTTTAAAATAATGACTAAGAGTTTAATCCTTGCCACTAAAAGTGTTTTCCACTGAGCACCAATTGTGAAATACTTTAATTCAAATAATAAGCTAATTAAGGTGAAACAGTGGGTATATGGCAGTGTGAACTACCTTCCCTTTAATCAGAGGTCTCCAAACTTGGCAACTTTAAGACTTGTGGGCTTCAACTCCCAGAATTCTCCAGCTATGCTGACTGGAGAATTCTGGGAGTTGAAGCCCAAAAGTCTTAAAGTTGCCAAGTTTGGGGGGAGGCTGCTTTAAAGCCAATCTAAATAAGACAGAAGAAGAGAGGGAGATGGAGAGGAGGAGAGAATACACTAAGTCTAAATCTTTCAGAGGCTGCTCTAATTCCAAACCCTGAGGAACATTCAACTGTGTTCAATTCCCTTTGCGTCAACTGGAGTCAACTGGAGAGCTGGCTGCTCTGTCCTCCTTTACTCTCTGTCTCTCATGAGATCCCTTCCAAATTGGGTCAGTGAGTCTCTTCCCATCTACCACTAGGGATTCAGGACTACAAAAGCCTTAAAATAGTTCTTGCCCTAGTTTCATGTAAGAATGGAAGATGGGTAGAGTGATGGAAAAAGGCAAGTGATTTGTTCAGAGCTCTAGCGAAAGACTGCTTTCCCCACCTAGATTTTACACATTTATTTGATATAAATTGAAAGTCTTCGGGATCTTATTAAAGCACCACCTCTCTTTTTTCAATCTCATTCACCAGCTTGAAGAAGGAAACTGATTCTTTAGTTAATGGAATGGTTCATATTTTAAGCAGATACATTTTTTTCAGACTTGCATGGCAGCCTTAAGAGACATACCTGCCTTTTTGAATAGTAGAGATTGGTGACCTTGCATAAGGTCTGAAGTATTTCTCTGAATAGTAAAGAATGACAAGCAAGGAAGTTAAGTGAATAAAAGGGTAGTAGAGAAAGAAGAAGAGATTCCGGTGCTTTTTTTGTTCTAATCTTCATTTTTCTTCAATTTACAACTGAGGCATCTCCTCAACCTCTCTGAAATAAGCTGAAAATTTATAAGGAAAACATCAAGGAACTGTTTTAGCAAAAAATTCACTCTAGTTTACAAAATTCAAGGGTTTTGTTGTATCCTCTGGTGTGCATTGGGAGATATTTGGAGTACACTGAATTTAATGGGTTGTTTTCAGAAACTTAATTCCCATTTTATCATGCAAAGAAAACTTGGTGAGGCCAACTTCTGTGAATATAAAATTAAGAAATATCAGGCCGTGTTTATAAAATGCGATGAATGAAAGAACAGAGAAGTATGAAAGTTGTCAACAATAAAGTAAAAATAAAACAAAACTCCAACTTTCTGAGCAAAATTACAGTAGTAATTTTGGGAAGTAGGGAAGGCTACTAGATGATGATCCTTCAAATTATCCAGATCATCCAAGAAATTCTATCTATGTTGTTATTAAGAGTTGACACTGGCTTGACAACATTTAGTCAATCAGCCAGTTAATTCTTCATCAGGTACTGGAAGACTTTCAAAGAAGGAACTTGGTGACATTCCATGACAGATATTTCATAGCATTTCCATCATTTCCACATCAACATACTTTGTAAAAGTAGCTGTTTGCGATTGTTTTTTTAAATATAAGTCTTTAAAATAAAAAAGTATCTAGATCATCCTGAGTGGGCTATATATGAAACTTGCTTTCTGTACATGTTACATGTTGCATTGATTACCCAAGGACCCCCCAAAATTGGATTAAGGCATCTCACAGTATCATCAGGAAGGGAAGGTACAGTCACTACTACTGAGATCTAAGGAGTTAGGTGTGTCTGAAGCTGGATGAGACAGCCAGTTTGGTGTATCTGTTTATGGCATCAGGCTAGATCCTGGGAGATGAATTCTAGTCTCACCTTAGGTACAAAGCCAGCTTGGTGACATTGGGCCAATCACTCCATCTCAACCCCAGGAAATAGGCAATGGCAAACCATTTCTAAAATCTTGCCAAGAAAACTACTGGGACTAGTCCATGCTGTTGCCAAGAGTCAATACTGACTTAAAGGCACATGTGCACACACCCAAATCCACATTTGTGAGACAAGCAAATGGCTTTCAAGGGAAGTTTACTATGGCTTATATAACCTATTGTGTATTCCCCTGGCCCTATTCCACTAAGGAAAAGCAGAGGAATTCTTGAGAAGAAATGTTGGGTTCACAAATTACAAAATCCTTAAAAATGAACTGGCTGTAGGCCCACATGAAATATTTCTTTTGTGTATAGCCACATGAGCCACAGAGGTCACTGGTGTATAGGACTATTATATTGTGGCCACTAGACAACCATGCCAGTTTTGAGAGGGTGGCTACAGAAACTGACTTAATAAATCAAAGAAATACAGGAATTAATTCTTTCCTGCCATCTATTAGTGATTGGATGTTTACAGCACAAATATGAAGCTGGAAAAGACTGCAGCTCTTTCTATCCTGACCCTAGAGTTGTTTATAGTGGAATATATAGACAGGAATATGCACCATAAACTCAAGGTTGTGCATTTTGTTTCCTATTAAAGTAACTCTTGGAAAATTCCTGTGGGTAATTTCCAGCTTGTTTTGCACTCCGCACACTCACTGTAAACTCCTCTCTCCAGATTGCAATGAACACATGCACTACTCAGTGCATCTAGCAAAAATATGGTTGGATGTTATTTATTAAGATCAGCAGGGATTAAAATCAATTAATTGGCAAAATGGAACAAAAGGCAAATAAAAATAAGGAAGGAGAGAGATATGAACAACAAAAACAGTTTTTGTGACGAATCCATCTATGCATATCAAAAGCTCTTAGAATTTTCCAAAGCCATTGGAAACAACTCCTGTGCATAATTAGCATGGACAGCCCAAAAGGGAGTAGCTTGCTTTGATCAGTCTGTAACCCTTTCAGTATATAATGGCAGTAGAATTGAGATGGGAAGTATTTTATGTATTTAGCTTATTTATATGTTGGCAGAATTATACTAAGAAAATACCCCAGTGCCCTTCACCACTTTGTTGTTGAGATATGGGTTGGTACCTTTATTCTTTAGAAGACAGCTTAAGAGTCTCCAAGTTGATCTGTAGAGATAGTCTGCAATGACACACAAGGACATAAGAAATAACATTCCCAATGGCCCTGAAAGATCATTCAAGCAAGCTTAGGTAGTTAATCTCCCACATTTGGGAAGACATTTCAAGAAATGAAATCACTTTGGATAATACACGTTTATTTTTGTCATGTTTCATTTCACCATTTCCAGGTAAATGAAAAATCCTCCCAAAGTCTATCTTTGGACATAGATTTAATAGTAGCATTTCCTTAGCAACCTATCAGAGATAGTCTTCAACTTATGATTGGCCATTTAACAAATGTTCGAAGTTATGAAGGAGCCAAAAGTCACTTATGACCTAACCAGGAAGTTACAACTGCTGCACCACTCAATGGTTACATGATCATCTTTTTGAGCGTTTGGCAACTGGCTCTCATTTATAATCTATTGCAGCATCCCAAAGCCTCATTGATCATGTTTAGCTATGGTTTCTGCCATTTTCTGGCAATAAATAACCATTGGATAAACTGGATTTTGACTTATAACCATGTGATTCACTTAATGACTGTGGTGACTTGCTTAATGAGCACCATAAAAATGGTTGTAAAATTGAGTCCGGTCATATGGTAACTTGCCTTATGACTCCAGTGACCAAAATTCCAGGTTCAATTGTGGCCAATGACTACCTGCGTTGCGTTTGCCTCATTATCTACAGAAGCATTATCTGTATTGAGTTTCTCAATACAGTGTGCAGTTCTATCACATCCAAATTGTACCACTGTACAGGCATAAACATTGCCACTATTTGCTTATCTATTCCATGCTGTTTCAGCTAACATGCATCCTAACAGTGAAGTCTTTATTGTGAGTAAATTACTCCTGGATTCCCCAAATTCCTCTGGATTCCTTCATCTCTTACCCTGTGATTTAGTACTGTAATAGTGAAGTATTATATAAAAGCATAGATCAAAATCCCAATACTAGTTCACAAAAAAACTAAGTGAGGCCAGATAGTTGAACAAAGCAGCTGCTTTTTATGTTGCATTGAGTCGGAGTCTAAAACAGTAAAGCAGCTGAATGTCGCTAGCTAGCAGGAGGACAATTTAAGCAGTGCTCAGCAGTACTCAGAGCACATTAAAAAATTCCCCAATACTAGCAGTCATTTTTTTAAAAATCAATTCTATGCATTTCGAAGTTTTCTTCCAATCAGCCAATGGCTGCAAGATGTATTTGTCTTCATTTATCTATGCAACAGCAACATTATTGGTGTT